TGGTGTCTCAGCACGAAGAACTTTCGCAACGGTGCATACTTAGGGAGAACACTTCTTGATAATTAGTGAGAGATCATCTTAAAATGCTACCGCCGAACTAAGCAAAATAAGATGTATAACAGATAAACATCATATGCAATCAAAATATGTGACATGATATGGCCATGATCATCTTGCGCCTTTGATCTCCATCTCCAAAGTACTGTCATGATCTCTATCGTCACCGGCACGACACCATGATCTTCATCATCTTGATCTATATCAATGTGCCGTTACATGATCGTCTCGCCAACTATTGCTCTTGCAACTATTGCTATCGCATAGCGATACAGTAAAGCAATTATTTGGCACTTGCATCGTATGCAACAAAGAGACAACCATAGGGCTTCTGCCAGTTGCCGATAACTTCAATAAAACATGATCATCTCATACAACAACTTATATCTCATCACGTCTTGACCATATCACATCACAACATTTTGCTGCAAAAACAAGTTAGATGTCCTCTACTTTGTTGTTGCAAATTTTATGCGGCTGCTATGGGCTGAGCAAGAACCGTTCTTACTACGCATCAAAACCACAACGATAGCTTGTCAAGTTGGTGTTGTTTTAACCTTCGCAAGGACCGGGCGTAGCCACACTCGGTTCAACTAAAGTTGGAGAAACTGACACCCGCCAGCCACCTGTGTGCAAAGCACGTCGGTAGAACCAGTCTCGCGTATGCGTACGCGTAATGTCGGTCCAGGCCGCTTCATCCAACAATACCACCGAACCAAAGTATGACATGCTGGTAAGCAGTATGACTTATATCGCCCACAACTCACTTGTGTTCTACTCGTGCATATGACATCTACACATAAAACATGGCTCGGATGGCACTGTTGGGGAACGTAGTAATTTCAAAAAACTTCCTACGCACACGCAAGATCATGGTGATACATAGCAACGAGAGGGGAGAGTGTGTCCACGTACCCTCGTAGAGCGAAAGCGGAAGCGTTAGAACAACGCGGTTGATGTAGTCGTACGTCTTCACGGCCCGACCGGTCAAGCACCAAACTACGGCACCTCCGAGTTCTAGCACACGTTCAGCTCGATGACGTCCCTTGAACTCCGATCCAGCCGAGTGTCGAGGGAGAGTTCCGTCAGCACGACGGCGTGGTGACGATCTTGATGTTCTACCGTCGTAGGGCTTCGCCTAAGCACCGCTACAATACTATCGAGGAGGACTATGGTGGAGGGGGGGCACCGCACACGGCTAAGAGATCCAAGGGATCAATTGTTGTTCTGTCTAGATGTGCCCCCCTGCCCCCGTATATAAAGCAGCAAGGGGGGAGGGGGCGGCCGGCCTAGGAGGGGGCGCGCCAAGGGGAGTCCTACTCCCACCGGGAGTAGGACTCCCTCCTTCCTTGTTGGAGTAGGAGAAGGGGAAAGAGGGGGAGAGGAAGAAGGAAAAGGGGGCTGCGCCCCTTGTCCAATTCGGACCAGAGGGGGTCTGTGCGCCTCCTTCCTTTCGGCCTCTCTCCTCTATTCCCGTATGGCCCAATAAGGCTCATATACTCCCGGCGAATTCCCGTAACTCTCCGGTACTCCGAAAAATACCTGAATCACTCGGAACCTTTACGAAGTCCGAATATAGTCATCCAATATATCGATCTTTACGTCTCGACCATTTTGAGACTCCTTGTCATGTCCCCGATCTCATCCGGGACTCCGAACTCCTTCGGTACATCAAAACTCATAAACTCATAATATAACTGTCATCGAAACCTTAAGCGTGCGGACCCTATGGGTTCGAGAACAATGTAGACATGACCGAGACATGTCTCCGGTCAATAACCAACAGCGGAACCTGGATGCTCATATTGGCTCCCACATATTCTACGAAGATCTTTATCGGTCAAGCCGCATAACAACATACGTTGTTCCCTTTGTCATCGGTATATTACTTGCCCGAGATTTGATCGTCGGTATCTTAATACCTAGTTCAATCTCGTTACCGGCAAGTCTCTTTACTCGTTACATAATACATCATCCTGCAACTAACTCATTAGTTGCAATGCTTGCAAGGCTTATAGTGATGTGCATTACCGAGTGGGCCCAGAGATACCTCTCCGACAATCGGAGTGACAAATCCTAATCTCGAAATACGCCAACCCAACATGTACCTTCGGAGACACCTGTAGAGCTCCTTTATAATCACCCATTTACGTTGTGACGTTTGGTAGCACACAAAGTGTTCCTTCGATAAACGGGAGTTGCATAATCTCATAGTCATAGGAACATGTATAAGTCATGAAGAAAGCAGTAGCAACATACTAAACGATCAAGTGCTAAGGCTAACAGAATGGGTCAAGTCAATCACATCATTCTTCTAATGATGTGATCCCGTTAATCAAATAACAACTCATGTCTATGGTTAGGAAACTTAACCATCTTTGATTAATGAGCTAGTCAAGTAGAGGCATACTAGTGACATTATGTTTGTCTATGTATTCACACATGTATTATGTTTCCGGTTAACACAATTCTAGCATGAATAATAAACATTTATCATGATATAAGGAAATAAATAATAACTTTATTATTGCCTCTAGGGCATATTTCCTTCACTGTGCTCTTCAACTAACTTACTACATCAAAATTTCTCATTCTTGTTTCTCTCAAATGAAACAACATATGGACTTGAAACTTTGCAGATCGAACAAACTTTCGAACTTCAATGTGTGCTTTTTTCAGATTTTTTTGGTCCGACATACATATTCAAAATGAGATATATTTTTTATTAAAATGATTATTTTAAGTATTTAAAATACTTGAAAAAAATTGAAAGTTTTTTCTCACATTATGGTTAGGATGTCTCATTGTCATGCAAAGTTTGAAGTTTATATGTTATTTCGTTTGAGAAAAACAAAAAACACGAATGTGTCTATACAGACCATGATGCAAAAATGGATGGACAAGATAAAGGGAACCATCTAGCTCAACCTACAGAAAAAGATCCAGAAAATATGGGAGCATATGTGTCAAGTTTAGGACTTTAGCCTAGGTGGGCTTGTTCCACCACGAGAAACCTAACCTTCTAGCGTAGGCTTAGGTTGCGGCATGATACATGTTTCAATTGTGCATGTTGTTGATATTTTTATGCAAACGACCCTTTGGCTAAATTCAACATTTGGTACCATAAAGAGGTCTTGCTCCTTATAGTGCCATGACAGATGATGAATAGATCAGAAGTTTTTCTTGTAGAAAAGAAAAAAGGTAAGATTTTTTGCCATGTAATCGGTCTCGGCTCTTGCTAGCCGGCCGTGACCTCTTCCGTCCGGTTGAACTTTGCCTCCGCCCGTTCGTGGGCGACAGGTACAAGATGATGAAGCACACGGGGAACGTGATAATCGACCGAAGTTGCCATATGAGTTTATAGAGAGAGAGAGGGGGTCACGCTATTCGTCACCCTGAATGAGAAATAGTTATTCTTCACCCCTTCTCTATTTTAACATCAATGCACCGTATTTTTACGTTTCGTAAATTTTGTCTTATCTCATACATAAAAAGAAAACATAAGAAAATATGTACTCGCTGTAAAAAATATTTTATGTTACGTAAAATTACGAATGTAAAAACATAGTGTAAAATATACATAAAATGTGAGTATGTCGACCGAATACCACTCCGTTCGGTCGTGTGTGCGGGTGTGTGTGCGTGTGAGACCGGCGGCGGCGACGCATGTCGTATGTCGTGCCGACAGCGCCAGCCATCCCGCGGGGCGTCCGTGCGTGCTCAGCTCGGCTCAGCCAGGGGCCGTGTCGTCCTTTCGGCGGTTCGGGCGACCGAATCTTTGCCGTGCGTCGGTGCGTGCGTGCCCAGACGCGCGCGCGCGATCAACAACTGCCATGCCATTGCCAGGGCATGGCAACCACCGGCCCGCCGATCGCCTGCGTGCGTGCGTGCGTGACCAGGCGCCCAGATCGAAGGCAGGGGGAGGGTGACCTGTCGCTTCCGTCGATGATCCGGCGATCCTTCCCTGCGCCGCAGGCTCAGAGCAGCCACCGGCCATGCCTCATGCCTGGCGTGCTCCGCGGCGGGCGACCACCGGCCCTGCGGCGCCGCTCGGCCAGAGCAAGGCCTCCACCGCTCCAGCGCCCCCCCTGCGTGCGCGCACGACCCATGCTGCCATCCGTCTACCTCTGCGAAAATTTCTGCGGCGACTGGCACGCGTACGCCAGTGAGCGATCGATCCATGCAGGTATCACCGGCCCGGCCCGACGCACAGCGGCCGCTGCGCTCAACCGACCTGCGCCAAGGAAGCTCCCTCCCAGGCCCCGGCCGGGTCGTGCCGTGTGGACAGAGCCGGAGCTCGGTCGGCGTCCCGCTTCTTCCTCTGCACGCACTACGCCGTGCGTTCCATGTCATCTTGGGGGGGTGCCAGATAATAAGTACGTGCGGGCTCACAGTCACAGCCACGTCCGTCCGCCCATCCGTCGGACTGCCGAGATTGGCGGCACGGTGTTTCTCACCCCGTCACCCGAACCGCACCCCTTCTGTGACAGGCACGTATGTACGGAGTATCATGGACTATCTAGAGGACATGCCAATCATGCGTGATTGCAATGCCATGCTTCCTTCTATACGTACATCTATCTGAGCTTGCACCGGGAACCAACCGATCTTCACCTACCAATCATCACCATCATCAGATCATCATCATCATCATCTACTTATTCTACGCGTAGAACCGTAAGGTGGCCTGTCTCCGGGGCCGCCGGCCGAGAGCTTGCGGCTCTGGTTGCCTTGCCTTGCCTTGCCGCCCCAATGGACGCCCAATGATAGCCCTCCAAGCGGTTGACCAAACGTGGGCACCTGACAGATAGACAGTACTAGTACAATCATTTCAATCATTGGCGCGAGCGATTCCACAGCTAAGGCTTCGGCGATTCGCTCCTCCTGGTCTCTCACGTCCACGCTCGCTACTACCACTCCTCAATTATCCAGCGACAGTTGCGTTACACCACTACTATAATCTGCATATATGGTGAGAATATCAGTTTGCAGTTAGCATGTTGCAGGCAGGCCACAACTAGCACCCTCCCTGAAATATCAAAAAACAAAGCTTCAGACAGCCCGCCGCGACCTTCCTGAAGAGAAGATAAGGAAAAGAAAGACGGCAACCAACCACTATCAGAAATTCCCGCAAAAAAAAATTAAAAAAAATCAGACGGCATCTTGCCGGACCACTGGCTCAACAAGAACATTAATGTCGCGCGAAATCATCAAACGTGCGCGGCGTTTCTGGGTGTGTATGAAAAACGGAAAAGATAGCCACCGCCTATCACCTCTTCCTGCTACCGCATACCGGAGAGAACAAGCTAAATCTCGTACATCCACATGGACCAATGCAAGGAAGCGTCAAGATTTCGAAGACGTGGAAAAATTCAAAAACTGTGGCAGTCTAGGGCTAACTCTGGTGCGCTAACATCTACGATTAGCCGAGTCCCAGATTCCGCAGCTCCTTCTTCTGACCGGTGGTCGAGCCGCCCTCTTTCTTGATCCGGGAAGGCCTGACGATACGGTCGATGATCCCGTATTCGAGGGCTCCTTCGGCGTCGAAGCGCTTCGACCTGGACAAGTCCTCATGAACCTGCAAGAGTAGACACTTCGGATGAGAGGAATGCAGCTAGGATTGCATTCGCGGAGATCAACCTAGTAACTGAATCATGATAAATGCTGCGCGTATAGGGAAAGTGGCAGTACGGTATTTCACATCAGATTTTTCCTTTAAGGATGATATACGAGAAAACAGAACGAATCAAAGCCTAGTTATGCATGGTGAAAGTAAGCGGGAAACGCTAAAAGGCGTTTCCACAGTAACTGAAAGCTAAGTACTAACTGCAGGTGATGAGGGAGAAAGTGACTGCAACATGTGACAGAAAATGCTGACCTTTTCAACAGAATGGCCCGTGTGCTCTGCTAGCTTGCCGTAAAGATAGTTCTTGATTCGATTAAGTTCGTTTGACTCGTTTTCTATATCATCAGCCTGTAGGAAAAAACAAGTGTACGATAATGCAGTTCAGCAATAACAACAATAACTGTACACCATGGGGATTTTTACAAGAAACTGATCAGTAAGCTTCTGCTATGCCCAGACCTGGCCTCGAGCTGCTCCAGCAGGTGACTGAAGTGAAACACGGCAAAGAGGCATACCAGTACGTGAACCCTACATAGTAGTATAAAAGAGCAGCAAAACAAGCATTATAGTGGGCACAAAGAACCAAACAAGTTCCAGAAAGAAGTTGGTATTTAAGTGCCAATACCTTTTGACCAGCTGCAAGAATGAATCCTGCCAAGTTGAATGCAAAGCCCAGGCAATGAGTACCAATTGGACTCTTTAGGCTTAGCATGGTATCATATAACGCCATGCATGGTGTAAGCTGGAATATCAATAGAGAACACAAGAATTAGAAAGGCTCTCCTAGGCAAATTTGTGTTAGCTAAGAGTATTTCTTCGATGAGACACTTTTGTAGCTTTGTACCCATTCTGGAACATCGAAACAAACATATCTTCACAAGCCATAAGGTACACTGAAAAACGGATTACAAAATATCCCTGTTGCATTTATCAAAGGGACTCCCGTGAAAAAAAATGGTGCATGCCCGCGCTAATTTATAATGAACTTAAATTCCCAGTGAGCTTTCCAACCAATTAGAACTACTACATTTGGAATATTTGTTATGCTGACATCGCTTAATCTTGCCTCCCAAGATTATCACAATAGAGATTCTCTCTTTCCAGAATGAGTATTTCCATTTCATAGCGATACAAGTTTCTGCAATAGTTTTGTCCCATAAGAGCAGGACAGCATACCCAACTCAGAATAAAATACTAAAGTTCAGAAAATCCCTTACTAAACTACAGAGTAGCATTGGCAGCCCGTCAGATCCACTTAGTTCATCCCAGTTTTGTCCTTTTAAGATAAACTATTGGGACATCCCAGTTTTACCATATCAAATGTACTCGCCATTGTTAAAATGATGCATGCCCACACCGATCTGTAGATAACTTCAATTTCCAGTGAGCTTTCCAAATAATTAGAGCTACTACAATTGGAATAATGTTATACTGTGATCACTTAATTTTGCCTCTAAGACTATCACAATAGAATAAATCCTCTCTTTCCTGAGTTTTCCATTTCATAGCTATAAAAGTTTTTGCACTGGTTTTGTGATTTTGTCCCACAAAAGTAGGACAGCATACATAACTCAGCACAAGATACTAAAGTTCAGGCAATCACTCACTTACTAAACTACAGAATAGCAATGGCAGCCCCTTAGATCCGATCAGTTCAACCCAGTTTTTCTTTTTCAAGATATAAACTATGGGGACATCAACTTGGTTTCGAATTCTTTAGAAGGTCAACCTACAGGACACAAGAACATGACCCCAAAAAAAGTGACATAAAAGAAGGCCAACCAACAAGAACAAAAGGGTAGTGTTGCCGAGTTCTTACATCTCCTCCTGGACCATTGATGTATAGAAGAATCTTCTTTGTGTCATCAACACTGTCAAGATACAGCATGCTTGCCAGTACTTGGTTACTGAATTCTTCATCAATAGTGTCCCCAATGAAGATAATCCGTTCACGATACTGTATACAGCAAATAAAAATTAGGAGTCGGTGCAACGGATTAGTCATTTTATTAGGTATTGCGAGGTCTTACTAAAGCATTCCATATGTCAAGCCACTGCCAGGTTCCTTCACCAGGTGTTCTGTACGGTACCCGTGGGGTGCCGACAGGCATCATGGAAATACGTGCCCTGGTAGCCCTCTTGTTTGACAACCTAATAAGTATAAATATTAGTAGACTGTGATACTTAAGGGAACAAATGTGTCCAGCAAACCACAGCAAAATTTACAGATATAACTGGCTACTATAAATGTATCAAATCTGTGGATTATAGATAGAACAATAACAAATGAGGCATCTCATTGATAGTTTTTTTAGGGGTATCTCATTGATAGTTGATGTACCGACACAAGCTCCCAACTTGATTTGTGCACAAACAATTTCATTTACGAAATGAACATCTTCTAAATATTCCCCATCCATCGAAATACTATATAGAGACCACTGATGCACTCGATGCAATCATCAAAACTCAAAATCATCCGTCAATTCATACGCAGACAGCGACAATTACATGAACAAGCACAGAATGCAAAACTAGTCAACTACCACCCGAAATGGGGACTGAACAAACACCTGACGAATGTGCAGCACCACACCACATATTATATCAATACAACGAGCAAAACAGAGGCTACGCATACGGATGGGCGTGCGTGTGCATACCCTAGAGAGACCCTCCGGTTGACGGCGGTGTAGAACCGGGCGTTGACATTCGGGCACGACGACTCGGACGAGCCTGCTCAGCAATCCAGCCACCAAAACCGAAATCAGCCACCGGAACAACGAACCCCAGAGTAAATTGGAACGATTTGGTTCGGTTTTCGTGCTCACCGAGCCTGGTCTGGGCCTTCAACCCGACGAAGACCTTGGTGCCCACGCTGCGAAAGGGGAAACAGAGGCGGAGGCGAGAAGATTGGGGAGGGTCAGCCAGGGTTTCAGGAGGGGGGCGTACGAGGGGGAGACGGAGGAGGAGGCTGACCTGAGAGAGGAGGGCGAGCTGGCGACGGCGCGGGGGTGGAAGCAGGAGGAGTTGGCGGGCGCCGTCCGGCACAGCGCCATTGGAGCAGGGGCTGCGGAGTGGCTCGGGAGTGAACAGTGGCGGAATGGATAACAGAGGGAGGAAGAGGGTAGATGTGCGCCAAGATTCGTGCGCCTCCCGATCAAACACATATTTTTATAGCTCTCATGGCATCTAAGGCCAACTCCACCTCGCGACCTCAAATCATCCGCGGACATCCCTTTGGGGCGAAACAGGGCCCAACGGGCGTACCTAAACGGACAAAGATGCCCTCAGAGGTTCGTTTCTGTCCGGCCCGACTCCAAACGCGGAGCAAATGCGTCTGAAACGGACGAAACATCTGCCCATGGACCACATATCGGTGACTACAATAAAATGCACGGAGCGCTCCAAGCTCCTCGCGGTTGCCGCCCACCGCCGCGCTCGCCACCACCACCCGCCGCTGTCCTCTGCCAGTCGTCTCGTAGCGCGTTGGGGCCGCCGTGCGGCCCAAAATCGCCACGGCCGTCGCGCTCCACCAGTCGTCCCATAGCGCGCCGCCACTTGATCTACTGATGTTGGAGCTGGCCCTCCTCGCCAACTCCGCCGCCGGCGGGCTGTTGCTGCTGAAGCTACCCCTCCTCGCCGACTCTGTCGCCGGCAGGCTGCTGCTACTACTGCATGGATCCTCCTCCGCCTTTGTAGCTCTCACCACGCAGGCGGGGGGCGGCAGGAGTAGGGTGTGTGCGCGGCCGAGCGCGCAGCGGGCGGGGCGGGGCGCGCGCGGCGCGGTTTGATACGTCTCTAATGTATCTATAATTTATGAAGTATTCATGTTGTTATATTATTATTCTTATATGTTTTACAATCATTTTATAGCAACTTTATATCATTTTTTAGGAATATTCTAATGACATAGTGCCCAGTGTCAGTTGCTATTTTTTGCTTGTTTTTTACATATAGAAAATCAATACCAAACGGAGTCCAAACACATCGAAACTATTTAGAGAATTTTCTGGACCAGAAGACACAACTTGGGCCAAAGAAGTACCAGAGGGGTGCCCCGAGAGGGCCACAACCCACCTGGGCGCGCCTGGGGGGCCAGGCGCGTCCTGGTGGGTTGTGCCAACCTCGGTGGTCTCCCGCACCGCCTCTTCGCCCTATAAATTTTCAAATATTCCAAAAATCCTAGGGAGTGGATAGACGAGAAGTTCTTTGCCGCAAACGTCTGTAGCCACGAAAAATCAATCTAGACCCCGTTTTGGCACTCCGCTGGAGGGAGAAATCATCACCGGTGGCCATCTTCATCATCCATATGGCCACCATGATGAGGAGGGAGTAGTCCACCCTCGGGGCTGAGGGGTTGTAACAGTAGTTATGTGTTTAATCTCTCTCTCGTGTTCTTGATGGCACGATCTCCTTTGAGATTTTGTTTTATGAGATTGAATATTTTTATGGATTTGAGAGCACTTGATATATGCCTTGCATATGAATACCCGTGGTGACAATGAGGTATTATATTGATTCACTTGATATATGTTTTGGCACTCAACTCGCGAATTCCCGAGGTGACATCGGGGTAATCTATGCATAGAGGTTGATGCATGTTTTTGTCCTTATTTCTTCGGTAGAAATCTTTGAGTATCATGAATCTGAACCTGAATTTGAGGTTCTTTGTGTTGGATCGAGTATTATGAATCTAAATTTTTTTTATGGGTATCGTATAATTAAGAGGTAATATCAATGCTAGTCACAAAACTTGCGTTGGATGTGCAGTTTGGTGCTAAAACTTTAAAAAACACGGATTTCTGGTCATGTAACTTGTATTTAGGTGCAAATACAGTCTATTCAGCTGTCTACGCACGTATGCCCCGCTGATGTGGCATGCCATGCATGCATGAGCCCACTATCAACAACAAATGTCGCTTCAGGATGATATGCGCACGCATTTTTTTTTGCACAAAACCCCTCAAATTTATTTATTACGAATAAAGGCCCTCAAATAAAATAAAATAAAATGTTGCGGCTGATGGTTTCTAACCCACGACAACATAATAATAATACACCCACACATGAGCAACCTAAATCAAGTACCTATTTGTGTTCATAAAGAGAAACAATAAATTTTGTATTTTTGCAATGACGACTACTCATATCCAAATAATTTTTCTCAGATCGAATTTCCATTAAGAGAAAAAATTGTTAGCGCCCAACTTTTTTGAATTTAAACGAGAGAAACTAGTCTAACAATACATGGACAAGTTAATCCTATATAAGCATACAATATCAGACCTTCTTTTGGGAAATATTATTCTTTTGGTATTCACATTCATTTTAAAAAATCATGTTATTTAAAATATTGTTCTTGGAGCCGCAACAATGAATTGGACTCATGACTTTCTATAAGAAAGAAGTCGGGCTGACCACGGTACATGAACACTTATTTAAATTAATGTATTAAACTAAATATATTTAGACTCTAAAAAATTGAATTCAAAATTTCGGGCAAAAAAGAACAAGAATTGATGAGATATTTCAAAAACCGGATTTTGCAGACCATTCAAAAAAAGGAACCGAAAAAATGCTTGCTCGTGAACAAGTTTATGTATGTTTTTTGTTAAACATTAAAAAATTTAAGGTGTTTTTAAAATCTGAATTTCATTTGAAAAATTCTGGCAAAAAAAGATTTTTTTTTTTTGGAAACCTATTTTCTTGGCCAAAGCCGAGAAAGTGGAATCGAGTAAAAAATGCGTTCAGTATAAATGTAAATGTATCTCAACAAAAGCATGAAATTGTGCTTGGGGGAGTGGTTCGCTAGTGCATGTGCGCATATGTAGTCGTCAGTTCAAACCCCGCCGTGTGCTTTCTATTTCTCATTTCTTGCACCGACATCATGCTGATAAGTGGGACACATACATGCTGATGGGGGACTTATGTGTGTTTAAATATAGAGTGAGGGGTGTTTTGTGAAAAGACACACGACGTGTTGAACCAATTTGATTCAGTCACTGATGGTGGGTCATAGCCCTGCTGGCATGCCACGTCAGCACGGGATACGAAGTGACCGTATTTATATGAGATGACAAGTTATGTGACTACAATTCCGTATTTTATAAGTTTTGTAATCAAACTGAACATCAAACGCAAGTTGTATAACTTCTGGTGATATTACCTCTATAATTAACTCATGGATACTTGTGGTGACATTGGAGTATCTAGGTGACATTAGAGTTGGTTGATGCGTATCATATGGTGTTATTTTAGTATGAACTCTTGGATAGATCGAACAAAAAGAATAACATTGCGTCATATTAGTATGAACTCTTGAATAGATCGAACGAAAAGAATAACTTTAAGGTGGTTTCGTACCCTACAAACAATTTCTTCTTATATTCTCCACTAGATAAGAACTTTGGAGTGATTCTGCATCACACATTAAGGGATGGTTATATGATCCAACTAGATTATCATTGTTGAGTGATTGCAGTAGCGAAAGTACAGACCCTAGGCCTCATTTTCAATCATTGTAATATTGTTTGTGCTCCGTTTTATCAATTACTACCTTGCTATCTTTTATTGTTCCTATTGCAAAAATCAATATCTACTATCATTACTCCACTTGTATCACCATCTCTTCACCAAACTAGTGCACCTATACAATTTACCATTGTATTTGCTGTGTTGGGGACACAAGAGACTTTTTGCTATTTGGTTGCAGGGTTGTTTGAGAGTGACCATCTTCATCCTATGCCTCTCACGGATTGATAAATCTTAGGTCATCCACTTGAGGGAAAGTTGCTACTGTCCTACAAAACTCTGCGCTTGGAGGCCCAACACGAGTCTACAAGAATAAAGTTGCATAGTAGACATCACGGCCATGCGCGGGCTTGGCGGTGCGAGCGTGCGACGAGGCGCGCGGCAGGCGGGGCGGGGCATGCAGCGGGCGGCGCGGCCATGCACTGGGAAGGCGAGGCCGGCGTGCGGCGGGACGCTAAGCAGGGCGCGGGCGAGTTCGCGGTGGGCGGAGCGGGGCGGCAGGAGCAGGGTGCGGGCACGGCCGAGCGCGCAGCATGGCGACACGACCATGCGCGGGGCAGGCGGGGCGGGACATGCACGCGGGGCCTGCTGCTACAGGTGGGTGCGCAGGCATGACGGGGCGAACTCCGGCGAGGCGCAGACACGACTGGGCGAACTGCGGCGAGGCGTGGGCACGACGTGAGCGAGTTCCGGCAAGGCGCATGCACCACAGACAGTTTGGGGTCGGGGCCTCTCTGCTGCGCGTTGGGCGCAGATGCGTCCGCCGATCGTCCGCCCCCAAACAGCACCTATTTCCCACCCCAAACGGACAAATGTGTCCGTTTGGGGTCGAGAGGTGGAATTGGCCTAAGAGCATCTCTAGGCATTCCAAGAAACAATTAACTTCCTTTAAAAAACAACAATTTTACTTTTAACGACTGTTTTCTCATATGAGTTTTTTTATATGAGTTAACATCACCTAGCACTTCCTCTAAAGTTTTTTAGTTTTAGGTCTTTTTAGAAGGTGCCCTCAAAGTAAGCATCTTCTGCTCAAATATAGGCAGTGATCGTACTCCTCTATTTTCTCCCCCAAAGAGCAAGTTTAAGGACAAGCTCGTGTCATAGTTGCTCTAAGGACAAACTAGGTTAACGCCAACTTTCTGTAAAAGTTGTTATATGACTACCCCACCCCCTCCATACTTCTAATAAGATACTATGGTGATTCGAGCACTTACTGTTATCAATTGGCCAAACCAGTGACGAGCCCGCTACCAGTCATGGTATTTGACTCGCCTGCCTTACTGTACCATCTCTCTTGTATATATATCTCATTCCTTTTGTCGTGAGAGGTGGCCTCAAGCAAATATATAAGGCTGAAGGAAGGTTGAGATGGCGAATAGTGACATGTTGTGTATTGGCAGGCGATGAGTAGTAACCAAGAGGTTGAAATTGGATTTAAATGTGTATTCTCTGTCCTAGTTGCTTCAAGTGAGCTTCCGTTTTGATCTGAAATTGTGTTTTTCTGTGCCCCGTCAGTGTATTGAGA